GTGTGTGTGTGTGTGTGTGTGTGTGTGTGTGTGTGTGTGTGTGAGAGAGAGAGAGAGAGAGAGTGTGTGTGTTTCAACTCCCCCTATCTCCGTCCCTCTCTATAACTTGCGTAGATCACATGGCCATCCCAGACTTCGTGTCGGGAGCGATGGAGCACTGGGGCATCATCACCTACCGCGAGACGTCGCTGCTGTACGATGACGTAGGCTCGTCATCATCCAATAAGCAGCGCGTAGCTCAGGTTATCGCTCACGAGATCGCCCACATGGTGACTACTAATTACTCACAAAACTAATTAATTTCTAATTATATTATAATTATTCAATTACTGAATTACCTAGATAAATACTTTTAATTAGCTAAAGGATTACTAAATTTCCTACTTAATTAATTAATCACTTATTATTACTTATTTAATTATTTACCCAACTAATTACTGTATTGTCTGATGATATCAAAAATAACTAATACTAAATTGTATTATTATATTTTTAAATTATTCATCACGAAATTTTTACTCAATTAGTTAGTAACGCACTAATGAATTAATTAGTTATCATTGATCTTCTCTCTCTCTCTCTCTCTCTCTCTCTTCTCTCTCTCTCTCTCTCTCTCTCTCTCTCTCTCTCTCTCTCTCTCTCTCCCTCTCTCTCTCTCTCTCTCTATCTCTTTCGCTCTCGTAATCTTTCTTTCTCTCTCTGCAGTGGTTCGGTAACCTGGTGACGAACGACTGGTGGAATGACCTTTGGCTTCAGGAAGGGTTTGCAAGCTACGTCGAATATCTGGGCATGAACCGGACCGAGCCTGCCTGGGACGCGGTATGCGTGTGCATGCGTGCGCGCGTGCGTGCGTGTGTGTGTGCGTGCGTGTGTGCGTCCGTGCGTGTGTGCGTCCGGGTGTGCGTGCGTGTATGTGTGCGTGCCTGCGTGTGTGCGTGTGTGGGTGCATATGCATGTGTGCATGTGTATGTATCTATGTGTTTGTGTGTGTGAGTGTGCGTGCGTGTGTGTGTGTGTATGTGTGTGTGTGTCCGTACGTACGTGCACGCGCGCGCGGGTGTATGTGCGTGTGCGGTGTGTGTGTGCGTGTGCGTGTTTGTGCCTGTGTGTGTGTGTGTGTGTGTGTGTGTGTGTGTTTCTGTGTGTGTGTGTGCTTGTGTGTGTGTGTACGTGTGTGTGCTTGTGTGTGGTGGGCTGTGTGCGAGTGTGTGGTGTGCTGTGTGCGTGTGTGTGAGAGTGCGTGTGTGTGAGAGT